ATTACCAATGCCCTTATCACCTTAAACGAAATGGGGTTGATACATCTCATATATGTGATCTACTTGTAGTCTGGAAAACCCAATTATAAACAAAAAACTTTTGATCGAATGTATGAATACCAAGATGGTATGGCCTTTTGTATGGTCTCTGTCTCCTACTGTTACATAGAAGTTGTTTGAATTTGTTTCTGTAACTTGGCCATATTGACAGGGATACTACTGTACTACTGCAATACTACTGTGCTATGCTATACTCTACATTATTATTCAGAAGATAATGGATAATTTCACATTATAATTTACTGTATCATATAATTGGACACACTAGAAGACCGCAACCTGTCCGGAGTCCATAGTGTGCATGATAATTTCCAGAGTCGGACCGTGGAGCTGGTACATTCCAAGACGTTTCGCCGGCATCGTCACCATCAAACTACAACTCGTCAAAGAGACGCATGGGAATGTACCAAGTCCATGGTCGGACTCTGGAAATGATCATGCACACTATGGACTCCGGACAAGTTGCGTTCTTCTAGGTCTTCCTGCCAGTATGATAAAGTTGCAAAAACAATATCTGAAAATCTTTTATTTTGCAATTACAATAGACTACGTTATTTACATTTATTGCAGGGTGGTTTTAAGCCTATCAGTAAATATTTAATGAGGTTTCTCGTTACTCCATTTTCACGGATAGCCTCGAAACCTTCTTCCAACGCATATTCCGGTTCCTCCTCTTCCCCACCTCAATCCTGGCGTTATGGCCAGTGGGACTCGAAATCAGCTCATGCCTGCTTTATAGATGAGGGCCTTGACAACTGACTTCTGCTGTTACCGGGCGCCATTTCGGGGGCTATCGAGGCCGCCAGTGACGAGTGGATGCAAGTGAACTTGCAGCAAGTTGGGTCTGTGAATTCAGCAGCCTAGTTACCGGATCACATCGAGCGTCGCAATGTCACCGATTCACACACAGTCGCAGACAATTTGGCATTGTCCTAACTGACGAGTTGACTTTCTTGTAACAGCGTCGTCAAACGAATGGCTACTTTAGAGCGGCAAAAAAGAACGGGTTGAGTGTCCAGCCATTTCGTCTCGACACTCGCGAAGTCTGGGAGGGCTGGAGCCCACCTCCCTCACGAGACTCGAGCCTTATGCCAAGTTATATCTGATCTTCGTCTCTTTCCTCGCCAGGAAATGGTTGCGGCGTGGTTTTGTGTGATTATATCGCATTTGGGAATCCAGTCTGGCAGGCTGCCTTTGGCCGGCCACGAAAATGCACGACTGTCTGTGATGCAGAGATTGGACACTCCACTCGGCTGCAAGCCTTGTATCCTCTCAGACGGCTGCACAACAAAAGACCCTCAGGCAAAACAGCGAAAAGAGATTGTTGTGTTTTTTCTTTAAATCAAATACGGCATCGTCACATAAATTAAGCTGGACAATAAAACCCATATGCATTAGGAATATATTTCGAAACTAACGCTAGATCTTAAAAAAAGTAATGTTTCTTGTTTTCGCAACTCGGTCATATTGTGTG